CGTTAAGAAAGCTCGTCAGCGTCTCTACTTTCTGCGTAAACTTAGAGAATTTACCACTAACTCTAAGATTGTGCTTAACTTTTATGGCTGCACCATTGAGAGTTTACTTGTTGGTTCTGTGTCTGTGTGGTTTGGAAACATCACAGATAAAGAAAAGAGAGCTTTAAACAAGGTGCTCCGCTCTGTATTTGTCTGTGCACACTGGAGACTTTTGCTAATGTATTCCTATGTGGTGTTTTTACTGCAAATGGCAAATAAACTGAATCTGAATCTGAGCCCTATGAAGTTGGTTTAATTGAAGTTCAATATCCTAGAATTTGGAAATCTTTCGATGAAAGAGCAGCAAAAATCACCATCATCACACCCAAAGGAAAGTCAGGCGCTGTAGAGATTACAGTAGGGTTTTACGAATCCATGCATAGAATAGTGAAGGAAATTAATTATGCTTTATCAACTAACACGCTAGCGGGGAAGATTTACTTTCAATACAACAACATTACCAACAAAATTAATATACATGAAGCAGCAGGACACACGTTGACATTTCACGGGTCATTAGCCATTATCTTGGGTTTTGAAAATCCCGGAAGCGTGGTCATACCCACTCAACAGATTAAACCGTTCACAGCACCACACCCAGCCGACATTTACGCTGGATGTTATAATATCTTTATATACACTGATATAGTGGACTATCAGCTGGTGGGTGACAGCCACGCCCCTATATTAAGAGTGATAAACATTACAAATCAAAATGTGTCATATCCAACGGTAACCTATGATAAGCCTCATTACACTCCCGTGTCTAAATCAGTCATAGACGACGTTGAAATATCTTTTAAAAACGATCAAAACACTCATATTCCATTTTTATACGGGAAAGTAATTTTGAAACTACATTTTAGACCTGTTAAAGGATATTCCTAACAATGGGCTATACACCGCACAGAGTGGATGAGTCTCAGGCTGGAGGGGACATGCCAGGGTTTAGGGGAGCTCACACACAATATGGAAATGGACTAGGTGGTATATTTCGCGGATTATTCCGCTGGGGGATGCCGCTTTTTCATTAAGGACTCAAGGTGTTAAAGCCCCATTTGAAAACAGCAGCCGGTAATATCATCAGCGACATAACATCACGAGTTTCTAAAGCAGCGGTCTCAAAGGTGATGGGCGATGAGCAGGATGGTAAAGGCATGGTTGTATTTACTAAAAACCATCAAAGCCTACCCCCTGGTGGGAAGCTAATGACTGATGTCAAAGAAAACTTTGACGGACGTGTCCAGGATTATGCAGGATACAAAGACAAGGACTTTTTTCCAAGTTTAACATCTGTATTTAATTTATCTTTACAATCAGATACAGAAATTCAACAAAAGAGCTCCTATGCTGACTATGTCCCTCGCTCGCCCTGTGCTGACTGTGCTCAACGACCTTCAGGGGGCTTAAATGTAGGAGACTTCCGATGACGTCATCCATATGCGCCCAAGGGTTTTCCATCCGGGTGTGCTGGCGTCCCTTGTCCACTGGGAGGCGTCAGAATGCCGTTGGTGAATCCCCTTTCTGCCTGATTGAGTTGGACTTTGCTCTCGTTCAACAGAGGGAGAGAGCATTGTTTATTCATGGAGTCAATAATTGTCTGGTTTTGTAAGCTGGTTATCTTTATGATTCCTGTACTATCTTGTGTCCTTGGGGTTTTTCCTAAGTGCACATTCTTTGATGTGCAGCATTTTGTGAATATTCGTCATGACACACCCCACCACACGACGTAAAACAAGTCGCAAGCGTAAATTAACACATAAGCGAAACGCTAGACCGAGGAAACAGTCAAGGCTGACGGAGCTGTCGCGTGACATGTTTTAAAATATGGCCTTATTACACAACGACTCTAAGGAATGCGTCAAGACGGAATTGGATCTCTTTACTCTGCCTATCACCCAAACCTCTATTGAAAAGAGTACATTAATAGAAATCCCCCCAATTTCAGCCATAACAGAGACCGGACCTATAGAATTCCACATAACCGTTAGCGGTGAAGATTATATAGACTTGAATGACTCGTATATATTTCTACGGACAAAACCTTTAAACGGCGATGGTACCCCCGTAGGAGTGGGGCAGACGTGGGCTTTGTAAACTATCCTACTACGTCACTGTTTTCACAAGTGGATATAATGCTGGGCGATAAACTAATTACCCAGTCATCTAACACGTATCCTTATAGAGGGATTCTAGAATGTTTGGTTAATTACAGTAAGGATACATTAGACACTCAAGTTGGTACAGCCTTGTTTTGTAAAGACAGGGCATATGAATGCTGCTAGTATAGTCGGTAATAACCAAGGTTTAAATAAGAGAGGTACATTTACAGACAATGGTCGTATTGAAATGTATGCGATCTAAAGATGAATTTGTACTGATGTCTGGGGCTAATAATCCTGATTACCGTGTGAAAATAGTTTCACCATCAATTTTTGTGAAAAAGGTCGCAGTAGCTCCAATGGTCAGACTCGGTCACAGCAGAGCCTTACAACACACCAATGCGAAATACGCTATTGACCGTGTTGCTTTAAAAACATTTTCAATACCGAGTGGTACTAGAGTTTGCAACCAGGACAATCTTTATCTAGGTAAAATACCTAAATTCTTAATAGTGGGTTTTATTGACAACGAGGCGTACACGGGGAGCTATACCCATAATCCTTATAATTTCCAGCATTTTGATACTGAATTTATGAGTTTATACGTAGATGGTCAATCCTACCCTTTTCAACCTGTGTTTAACAGAGGACAATATGTACGTGAATATTATCAGTTGGTACAAACAACAGGCCGTCATTTAAAAGACAGGTCTCTTGCGATAGATCGAGACGATTTTGCAGATGGTTACACTCTGTTCTGTTTTAATTTAGAGGCTGATGAAGGCCATGGTGGTAATATTTCACTAGTTAAATCCGGTAATGTACGTTTAGAAGCTAGGTTTAGGACACCGCTCGCACGTACCGTTAATTTGATCTGCTATGCAGTTTTTGATTCCATTATTGAGATTTCAAACAGAAGACAAGTTCTACTAGACTACTATTAGGTGTCGCACTAATGAATACTATAGAGTTAACGAGCATCATGAAAAAGTGTGTTAAACGAGGCACACTTTTCCTAGGTGTTTTCCCCTCAGACCGTTTACCTAATGTTATAAACCGCTATCCGGCGTGTGCCGTCATTAACACCCATCCCTCCACCCTCCCGGGGGAACATTGGTTGGCCGTCTACTTTTCTAAAGATAGGCGTGGATACTTCTTTGATAGCTTTGGTAACGGTCCAGATTATAAAAGGTTCCCAAATACTATTAACAGATTTATGAGGGAGAATAGTGAAGGTTTTTACCATTCCATAAAACAGGTACAGAGTCATCTTTCTGTAACCTGTGGACAACACTGTGTATTTTTTCTTTGTCACATGTTAAAAGGCTCAAGTTATCAAGAGTTTATCCGTGTGTATGATTCTAACATGGCTTGTAACGATTCAGTGGTATGTCATTTTGTTAATGCTATACAACCTGTAGCCATATGTAGTGAAACTGATTTCGACTGTGTACAATGTGTAGTGCATAATAAAAATCATTGAGAAAAAATATTTAAGTATAATCTTTATTTTCCATTTCACAAATAGACCATACAGAATGAAAATAAAAAATGATAAAGTCCTTAAGACTAGTAAACACACATGAAAAAATAATAATAATTACAAAAGCATTTCATAATAAGTGATACATTTCACTGATACATTTCATGAATAAGATAAAATTGAAAAGAAAACAATATTTACACAGTTAAAAACTTAACCAACTTGCTGCACTCTTGGTGACTAAAGGAGTGGTGAATTTAGGTGACAGTAATCTTTTACGTTTAGCACTCGCTAAGGGCGTCGCATAAACATCAGAAGGAGGGATATTTTTAAACTCGTTAATTGTTCTACGAACCATCGTGTTAGAAATTACAGACTGGGGAATATTTATTTTTGCTAGTGTTTTTAAAAACAAAGACCAACCGATTGGTCGTGAAATTTCTAGTATATTATGACCGGCTGTAACATTCTTAATGAGGTCAAAAACATGAGACCCCTTTACAACACTACCGTGAAGCCTAAGTTATACTTGCGCGGCGCGGCTTACGTTAGTGGTTGCGGTGGACCTACGTAAGCACTCTTGGTGTTACTTGCGCGTTAACCCCCATAGACCCCCCCTTGCTGAATTCCTAAAAGATGTTGTAATCCCACCCCCTATCCACACGGTGGCCATCTCACAAGATTTGCCTGGGTCCCACTATAAAGTTCCGCTAGCTACTTCCTCCTCTTCAAAACAACTATGGCGACCAGACAAGTTGTGCTACTGCGAGAGCTGTTGGAGATCGATGAAGAAATGCTTCGAATCGCCTACAATATGTATTTCAGGCGTACGCGCCGCAGACGTAGATGGTATGTGCGACCGCTGAATGTGCCCCGGCCAATCAGTGGGGAGTACACCAGTCTGATTCAGCCGCTTCGAGACATGGACGAACAGATGCATTTTACCTACTTCAGGATGTCTGCAAGCAAGTTCGATGATTTGGCACATAGACTGAGACCCCATATTCGCCACCAGAACACTCACAAGTATCCGATTACCTTGCACGAACGATTGGCTGTGACTCTGAGGTTCTTGGCTAGTGGAAGCAGCCAGCAGGCATTGTCTGCTAGTTACAGGATGGCTAGCTCCACAGCCTCCAGGATTGTGACTGAGACATGCGAGGCATTGTGGAAGGCACTACAGGAAGATTTTCTGCCATCTCCGACTGTAGCCCAGTGGCAGAGTGTCGCTGCCGATTTCTGGAGGCTTTGGAACTTCCCTAATTGTTTCGGTAGTTTGGATGGCAAACATGTGAACATTCGTGCCCCCCCCCCCCCCCCCCCCGCGTGCTTGAAGCAACTACTTCAATTACAAGGGAAGCCATTCCATTGTCCTGATGGCCACGTGCGACGCGAGGTACAGGTTCACCACAGTGGATGTTGGAGCATATGGTCGGGAGAGTGACGGGGGAGTATTCAGGGAGAGCGTCTTCGGATCCATGCTGCTGAACCACGAGGCCAACCTCCCCCCGCCAGCTATTCTTCCTGGGACAACAGTCCAGTTGCCCCACGTCCTCGTCGGTGATGCTGCCTTCCCTCTCCACAACAATCTGATCCGGCCATACCCTGGTACGTTCTTATCATTTGCATGTGTTGTATGTTCTGCTTCTTAAATGGTATGTTGCCTAAGTAGTGCTTAAAGTTAATTTATGTGAGGTTTGTATTGGAAATAATAACCATTACATGTATTGTCTTATGTAATTGTAGGGGCAGCCAGATCTGAGGAGAAGAAGGTATTCAACTACCGCTTGTCCAGAGCCAGGAGGATCATTGAGAACACGTTTGGGATTATGGTGGCGAGATGGCGAATCCTTGGACGGCCCCTCGAAGCCCTTCCAGAGAAAGCCACAACAATTGTGAAGGCCTGTGTGGTGCTACACAACTACCTCACCTACACTGATGAGGGCAACACTGAACCCTGCCGCTACATAACGCCCTCATTTGTTGATGTGGACACAGTGGGACAGCTACAAGAGGGTGAGTGGCGAAGAGTCACTGCAGGAAGCAACGGCCTGGAGAACCTCGCCCCCCATCAGCTAACCCGTGCACGGTCCACACGGGCAGCCAGGGCTGTGCGAACAGATCTCACCTCCTTTTTCACTTCTGACATTGGAATGGTGCCATGTGTAGGGTATGAAAATTGTAGGGTGGAGCGGCTAGTCTCCAGATCAGAGTCTCGCCGTTCTACACAAAGGGGGATCTGAATTTATTTTATTTGGGCACCAGCAAACAGGAGAGTCTGCAACAGATCCAATCAGTCTGCCTCGATTAGTCTCATAATCTGATAGGTCTTGAGTTCTATATCGGCCAGGGATATCATGAATTATACAAAGAACACTGACGACTCTTAAAAGTTAGCGTGGGTTTATTAACTACATATAGAAACGGGAACGGTAACCGGGAGGGATCACACAAGTATGATAAGTCACATGAACAGGAATGTCAGAAACACATCACCATCACACACAATACAACTCCAGCAAGTCTTACTGTTACTGCCAAGTCCCAGAGGTGAAGATGCTTTACACCCGTTTGGGTCAGGCGGTCAAACACTTCAGTCTTCCTCACGCACGGAGAGCGGGCGCACACACACTCCAGTCTTTCCCACACACGGGAGCAGGGAGCGGGGATCGGTCCCGGGGAGCCCGGAGGTGGCTTGAGGCGCGATGGTCCATGGTGCTCCTTTTTGGTGGGAGTTAGAGCGCAGTTACGCCGCTGCGGGACAGGCAAGTCGAGTTCAGCTCGATGGGAAAAGGATCGGGCAGCTGTCCGGGCAGCGAGCTCCAACCTGCGCCTGGGTTGAAGTTGTGGGCCCCTGGATCGCGCAGGGGAGTGGGCCGCGCTCCAAGACGCGGCCCACTGGCCCAGAGAAAGTTTCAAAAAGAGTTCCCAAAAGGTTCACAAGCAAAAGTTAACACACGAAAAGTTGCTGTGTCTCTGTTTTTGTTCCGGCTCTGGGGGCGTGTCTTATGAAGTCAAATTTCCACGCCTCCAGAACTCCTTTCATGAAATCATAGTTTTAACCACATACACGTTACTTAGACATAGACACACAACACACCTTGTTCACAGACAATGGTACACACGTTTTCTGATTTAAGGTGTTAGCAAAACAACATATTCATCAGTGGTTTCAGTTGTCCGTCTCAGGTGTATTGGCGTCCAGTGTCCACTGGGGGGGTGGTGGAACGCCGTTGCCGGATCGCCGGCCCCTGGGTGATGTCTATGGCTTTGTTTGAGGCGATGCAGACCCACTGGCCCCCTTTGACCTCGCCGGGGGTGGGGGCCAGAGGTGTGCTCTGGGGACAATCACTGTCTTTGAGATGACTGCTGTATCTATGTGAGCCATTGTGGTGCTCTATCCGACCTCCATCGCCTTAGATGTTCCGAGCCGTGTGTTTTTGTTATCTCACACACAACCCCGCAGCTTGGCCGGCTTGCCTGGGTCATCGCGGGGGCAGTGCATTTTATTACCTTACACATGGCAGTACGACATCGTACGGCGAGGACTGCTCAATCCTGTAGAGCATTAGCATGTATTTGCTCATCCCCACATGGACCAATCGATTGTGTTTGATTTTCATATTGTGCACAATAAAGACTGTTGGTAAAAAATCCAGCGAAGTTATTTTCTGAGCAGTACACTGCCCTGCATAGTATGTCAACACTGGTCAACAAATCGATTCAAACACCCGCACACAGTTTTTGACCACCTGTCATAACACATCTACTGATAAAAGCTGTCTTTAAACTGATGTTGCACTTTTCCCTAGACTTTTATTGAACATTACACTTTATTAGGGAGGTGATACACAGCATGCATTGTAATTTAGTCCCACAGTGGGGAAATGTCAGTGTTGCATCACAAGTTAGAGAACAGTAGGAAAGAGGAGCACACGTTAATAGCTGCCCTAATTAAAATAAACCAATCTTCAAATGTAGCATCAATAAGTATTTGAAACTCTGTCTTGAAAAGAGTAAAAGCTTAACATTATAAAGTACTGTGTATTATAGTGCAAGTAGAGTGTGGTTAGGCTAGCAGCAGGATGTTAGCATCTGTACATTAGCAGCAGTATGTTTGCATCATACATAATCATTGTAATCTGTCTAGTTTCCTGTATGGGGTAAAATCTGAATTTGAAACTGTTTTAAACCATTTTAACTATGATCTATACCTGCAGTACATACACTACCCCAATAATCCAAAGTGGCTAGGCATTCATTCATTCATTCATTCATTTTCAAGCCCTTTATTGTCCATTTCTGGGTCAGGGGGGTGGCAATGAGAGCTGCCACCCAATGCTCATAGCACCAGTCCCTCGCTGATCTTCTGCAGGGGGTGAGTCCACAGGAAGATGGCTGCTCTGTCAGTGGTGAAACAGCCTTGGTCTTTCAGCGGGGGCTTCAGGCAACGTGGGGTTAAGTGTCTTGCCCAAGGACACAACGACAGTAGACATCAGTGGGAGCAGTTGGAGTAGGTGGGAATTGAACTCACGACCTCCAGGCTCAAAGGCCAATGCTCTACCAACTGAGCTACTGTCGCCCCCTACAGGTGGCTAGGCACTTATTACCAATTCCAATCAGATGTCATTTAGTGTTTGTATGGCTCAATATAATGTATTGACATTTTTTTTTTAAATGTCAATACAATCTTTAAAAAAGATTGATAATCAAAAAAAGTGATTTTCAACATAGTGCAAACTCAAATAAGGTGCAAAAAAATGTGCATTTACAGTTCAATTGTCAATCATCAAGAGCTGCTTCGTAAGCCCGGTCCAAGAAGAACTTGACCAGTCCAAGTTGCTTCTCTCTCGGCACCCTTCGGAGTGCCGCGGCCATTTGGGTACCAAACTGTGCCTCGTCATCGACCGCGGCCAGGAGAGCTTCCTGGGTTGCTTGACGACGCTTTTCCAGTGCCTGCATCTCTTGCATCCACCACGTCTGTCCGTCGAAAGTCTTCCTCTTCACTGAGGAGCGTGGTGGCCTGAGCGAAGACGTGGGGGGCGGAGATTGTATGGGTGTACTGCTCCGTGTAGGCTCACCCACCCGCTCAGAGCCGTCGTCATTCCCTTCCAAAGAGCTGGTGGCCGGTCCCCACAAGGAGCTGGTGGAGGGTCCTGCCAAGGAGCTGGTGGAGGGTCCTGCCAAGGAGCTGACGGAGGGTCCCCTTGAAAAGCTGGTGGAGGGTAACGTGGAGGAGCTGGTGGACAGTGCATCTATGCCATGGGGAAGTGGTCTGTTGGCGGGCTGTTGCACAAACACATAGGAAAAAATGTCAGATTGCACTGTAATTTTCATTACTGCTAGCTTAAAGACAATTTGATGCATTTTTTCCAAAAGGACTTCAGGTCATAAATTAATTAAATTACCGTTGCATGGACAGAATTTGACCTGAATCTAGTATACTTTACTCTGACAGGCAAAGTATTGGCTACACTACAATAGAGCTACATCTGATAATGCTGTTTCAACTACAGTTGAACCTGATGAAATCTCACACAACAAAGAGACAAAGTTAATCTTTTACTTGTTACATTGTCACAAGGAGAATGTCTTGACAGAGGCAAGGCACAGACCCCAGCCTCTCTCAGGACAAGTCTGAAGATTCACAGTCTGCAAGCCCCTTTTGGTAGAACAAGACACACCTTCGTATGCAGATGGGAAAGGAAGAAACCAACACAACAAAAGACACTTAGCATATGAGCTCCCCAGACCTCCCGGTGTCTTCCTGAAGCTAAAGTGAATTACAATACAGAGCATTCAGCACATAGCCACATATGATTTACCAAAATGATAACTTAAGTTACATTCCAATATCATTCCCTCCTTTTTATCCTTTTGATAAATCAAACAATCTATGTTTAAACAAGGAGAACATGGAGAAATGAAAATGAAAAAACACACATCCAAACTGAAAAAGAAAAATTTTTCATAGTACAATTTCATATTGTTGTTCCATAAACTATTCCCCCTATTGAGACATACATGTTAGGGTTTGTGTTTTGTTCCCCTCCTCTTTGTGTTTTTTCTTTCCTTCTGTGCAGAGCTGGTGGTTGACGGGGGCGTGGCTGGCACATGCAGCAATCAGGCACACCTGGACTTGATTAGGAACCAGCCTACAAACACTCTGCTCAGTCCTCTCCACACTGCCAGATAATTCCGTCTCAGTCGGTAGAAGCCTTACCTGCTTTTTGTCCTGACGTATTTTGTGATTCTTACATGTCTCCGTCTTTGCCCAGGTTGGTTCTCGCTCTGGGTTACCTCTGCTCCGTCCTGGTTCGACTTGCTGCCTGCCTGCCCCCGTCGCCTCAGCCTCTTCAGTTTTTGTTTTGTTTTTTTGGAAATAAATTGGTGAACCTTACCTGCCTCAGTCTCCGCTTTGGGGTTCCTCCTCTGCAATCCATAACAGAATTATCTGGCCAACATGGACCCCGCAGAGATTGAAAGATTTAAGCAGGCTCTCGCCCTACAAGCATCCCGTGCTTGTAGGGCGAGAGCAGAGTTAAGTGCTCGTTTTGACCAACTCGCTAGTCACCTGGCAGCTAATCCTCCACCAGTTCAAGTTCCACCTGCTCCTGTTGCGGCTTCTGCTCCTCCGGACCATCAACATGCCCTGCCTCGAGAACCCTTCATTCCCACTCCCGCCAGATATTCAGGTGAAATAGGGGTATGTGGACAGTTTCTACACCAGTGTATGCTAGTCTTCAACCAACAGCCGCTAACTTACTCCACTGATCAAGCTAAGGTAGCCTTTATTATGAGTTTACTCTCTGGTAAGGCATCTGCCTGGGCCGTAGCTTTAGTGAATAGTAGTTCCCCAGTTTGTAATGCTATGGATACATTTACCAATGAGATTAGAAGAGTGTTTGACCACCCGTTACAAACAAAGGAGGCCAGTAGCCGGCTGCTTTCCCTACGCCAGGGTAGTGGTTCTGTTTCCTCCTACTCTATAGATTTCCGCATTCTAGCTGCAGAGACCGGGTGGGATGAGAAAGCTTTGCAGGGGGTGTTTTTCAGTGGTTTAAGTGAGGAACTCAAGGACCAGCTGGCAGCTCGTGATGAGACTTCTACATTGGAAGAATTAATTTTCTTAGCCATACGTTTAGACAATCGTCTATCTGAAAGACGTAGGGAGAGAGCAGTTAAGAGCATTCCCCCTCCCACTCTCTACTCTCATCAACCTCGTCAGCCTGCACCTGCCACTCACCTGCCGACTGAATCATCACCAGCTGCTCCAACTCCTGTTCCAAGTTCTGAGGAACCCATGCAGTTGGGAAGGATGAGACTCAGCCAACAAGAACGCCAGCGTCGCCTTTGCCTTGGGCTCTGCATGTACTGCGGTAAAGCTGGACACACTGTTGATCACTGCCCTGCTCTGCCAAAAGACCAGGCTCATCAGCCAGCGGGGGGGGGGGCGCTGGTGAGCCACACACCGACTGATCCCTCCTGCGGACGTATCCAGCTTAAGGGTACTGTGTCCTACGCAAAGAAATCCTTTCCCCTTGTTGCCCTAGTGGATTCAGGAGCAGATGACAACTTTATTGACTCCATGTTTGTTTCCCAATGTAACATTTCTTCTGATGCCCTTCCTGAGCCCAAGAATGTTTATGCTCTTGATGGGAAACTTCTTGCCAGCGTTACGCATCGTACCACCCCAGTTTCATTACTCCTATCTGGCAATCATCACGAGACAATTTCTTTGTACGTTGTTAACTCTCCTTCCACTCCTCTAGTTTTAGGCCTTCCCTGGCTTAAACTACATAATCCACACATTGACAGGTCACAGCTATCCATAATTAATTGGAGCCTATTTTGTCACAGCCACTGTCTACGTTCGGCAGTTCCCTCTCTTGACAGATGCACACCTACTAATCCCAAGCCCATAGATTTGTCTCTTGTGCCAGCTGAGTACCATGACCTACAGGAGGTGTTCTCTAAGGACAATGCCTCATCATTGCCTCCTCACAGACCTTATGATTGTAGCATTGAATTGATCCCTGGCGCACCATTACCAACCAGCAAGCTCTACAATCTTTCCAATCCTGAGAGGGGGGCCATGGAGACTTATATCACAGATTCCCTAGCTGCTGGGCTCATTCGCCCCTCCTCATCCCCTGTAGGGGCCGGTTTCTTTTTTGTTGATAAAAAGGACCGTACACTTCGCCCTTGCATTGATTACAGGGGACTCAATGATATTACTGTCAAAAACAAGTATCCCCTTCCACTGATTGATTCAGCCTTTTGCTCACTCCAAGAGGCCACCGTTTTTACCAAACTTGACCTTCGGAGTGCCTATCATCTAGTCCGTATAAAGGAGGGAGATGAATGGAAGACGGCGTTCAACACCCCACTCGGACACTTTGAGTACCTGGTAATGCCATTTGGTTTAACAAATGCTCCAGCTGTGTTCCAGGCCCTTATTAATGATGTGTTGCGGGATATGTTGAATAGATTTGTGTTTGTATACATTGACGACATTTTGATTTTTTCTCGCTCTCTTCAAGAACATGTACAACATGTCAGACTTGTTCTACAACGCCTTCTCGAAAACAGACTTTATGTAAAAGCAGAGAAGTGTGAATTTCATGAGAGTTCTGTTGGCTTCCTTGGTTTTGTCATTGAAAAGGGGCAGATCAAGACGGACCCAGCCAAGGTACAGGCGGTTGCTGATTGGCCAACCCCTTCCAATAGGAAGCAACTCCAAAGATTTTTGGGATTTGCAAACTTCTATAGACGCTTTATTCGTGACTATAGTAAAGTTGCGGCACCTCTTACCAAACTTACTTCTGTTAAAGTGCCTTTTGACTGGCCTGCTGAAGCAGAGGCAGCTTTTGTGAAACTAAAGGACCTTTTTTGTTCTGCTCCAGTATTGTCTCACCCAGATCCTTCTGCCCAGTTTATCATCGAAGTGGATGCCTCTGACTCTGGTGTTGGGGCCGTCCTTTCTCAGCGGAATGCCACTGACCAGAAGTTGCATCCATGCGCCTTCTTCTCCCGTCGTCTAACTCCTGCGGAGAGGAACTATGATGTTGGCAACAGGGAGCTGCTGGCAGTCATCGTCGCACTAAGGGAGTGGAGGCACTGGTTGGAGGGCTCGGCACAGCCATTCATGGTATGGACAGATCATAAGAATTTATCCTATCTACGTTCTGCTCGCAGGCTAAATTCCCGCCAGGCTCGCTGGGCACTATTCCTTGGCCGGTTCAACTTCACACTCACTTACCGTCCGGGGTCCAGGAACCTCAAGCCGGATGCCTTGTCCCGCCAGTTTGCGCCTCCTAATGAAGAACCTCCTACTGAAAATATCTTGCCTCCCACCTGTGTGGTAGGGGCAGTCTGTTGGGAGGTGGAGAAATCTGTCCAGGAGGCCCTTGTCAATCATCCCTCACCTCCGGGATGTCCTCCTGGCTGCTTGTTTGTGCCGCCATCAGCCAGATCTGTGGTTTTGCAGTGGGGCCATTCCTCCAGAGTCTCCTGTCATCCTGGATTTCATCGAACCCTTACCTTAATCCAGTAGCGCTTCTGGTGGCCCACAATGTCCGCTGACATCAAGGGATTTGTTTCTGCTTGCTCGGTCTGTGCCCGCAGTAAAGCATCCCACCGAGCTCCTGCTGGTCTGCTTCGTCCACTCCCGATTCCGCACCGTCCCTGGTCCCACATCGCTGTGGACTTTGTAGCTGGCCTTCCCCCATCTGAAGGTAACTCTGTAATTTTGACCATTGTGGATCGATTTTCGAAGTGTGTACATTTTGTCCCATTACCAAAGTTGCCCTCTGCCTTCGAGACTGCTAATTTGCTGGTTCAACATGTCTTCAAACTCCATGGCATACCACAGGATATTGTGTCTGACCGAGGCCCACAGTTCACTTCTCAAGTTTGGAAGGCCTTCTGTCGTGCAGTGGGGGCTACAGCCAGTTTATCGTCTGGATACCATCCACAAACTAATGGCCAGACGGAGCGGGCGAACCAAGACCTGGAAGCGGCCCTCCGATGTGTCACTGCTCACCATCCGGTTTCCTGGTCCCTGCATCTCCCTTGGATTGAATACTCTCACAACTCCCTAGTTTCTTCTGCTACTGGTATGTCTCCTTTCATGGCTGCTATTGGTTTTCAACCTCCCCTCTTTCCCAGCCAGGAGACTCGAGTTGCGGTTCCGTCCATCCAGCAGCATCTTCAACGTGCTCGTAAGATCTGGCATGAAGTCAGAGCAGCTCTTTCCCGCACTGCTGTTAGGAACCAGCAGCTTGCAGACCGCCGCCGCTCTCCTGCTCCGGAGTATGAGCCTGGTCAGAAGGTCTGGCTTTCCGCACGTGACCTTCCCCTACAAACTGAATCCAAAAAACTCTCTCCCAGGTACATTGGCCCTTACGTCGTAGAACGGGTTATCAATCCTGCTGTGGTGAGGCTTAAATTGCCTCCTTCTCTGAATGTCCACCCTGCCTTCCATGTCTCCCTGCTGAAACCTTTTCTGACGAGTCCTCTTAGCCCTCCGGCCGAGCCCCCTCCGCCCCCCCGGGTGGTCGACGGTCACCCTGCGTTTGCTGTGCGGCGGCTGCTGGATGTTCGGAGGCGGGGCCGCGGCTTCCAGTATCTGGCGGACTGGGAGGGTTACGGCCCTGTGGACCGCTCATGGGTTTCCCGGTCCCTCGTCTTGGATCCGTCGCTCTTTCGTGACTTTTATGCCCTGCATCCCTCTAAGCCTGGTAGACCGCCAGGTGGCGTCCCTTGAGGGGGGGGCCCTGTTAGGGTTTGTGTTTTGTTCCCCTCCTCTTTGTGTTTTTTCTTTCCTTCTGTGCAGAGCTGGTGGTTGACGGGTGCGTGGCTGGCACAGGTGCAGCAATCAGGCACACCTGGACTTGGACTTGATTGATTGATACATACGGTATGGTCCCTTAAAAACCTGGTCTGCTCTAGGTTTACATTCTGTTTTTATAATTCGTCTGTAGTTATCAAAACACAGTGAAACTCAAGTAGTTGTCTTCTTTTAGGCTTCTCCGTTTATTTTTTTTTTTTTCTTTTTTTGTTTTTGTTTATGTTTTTTTTTCTGATTTCTAGTGCGTTATTTTCTTTTTGTTGTTAGTGCAAATACACATAATTCATTTTACAAACATGTACAAATATGTTCCCTTCATCTTAACATCTAAAGTACGTGTTTGT